ATGGACCACTCTAGGCGGCTTCCAATATAAAATTAAACAATAAAATACAACAGAAACATAGCTAATACAAAACAACTAGAATAAACTAAAAAATAGGACAATAAGAAGAAGAGAATCAAGAACTGGCTGGAGGGAAGGCTTGAATAAATAACCATGTTTTTAATTGGGTTTTGAAGATGCCCAGTGTAGGGGCCACGCGAATTCCCGGAGGGAGATTGTTCCAAAGGCGAGGAGCCACCGCCGAGAGGGCCCGGTTTCGTGTCTTCTCCTTAGTAGCCTTGGAAGTGATCCGTTTTTCTTCTGCGCAATAAAAATATGCTCTTTTTGCTGATCTGGGTTTCTAAGGCATAATTCACCTGCAAAATCCTGTAGCTTAAGACACAACAATTTTCCAAGGAATTCTGGAAAAAAACAGTGTTGCCCAGTTATATGCAATGCAAGCTATGTCAATACTGGAATGGACTGCAGTTTGGATTGTTTGTATGAATGCTTTTGTGACTCATGCACAACCAATCTCTTTTCTCTCATTCCTGACTTTAGGTTGTATCAAGTGAACTTTGATGCTCCCACCTGTGAAGGCAAACGGGAAAAACTCTCGCTAATAGGAGACTTTTCTTCTTCTGCGGAATTCTTTGTCACTATTGCCGTCTTTGCTTTCCTGTACTCGTTGGCGGCCACAGTGGTTTACATTTTCTTCCAGAACAAATACCGTGAAAACAACAGGGGCCCTCTGATTGTAAGTGTGCTAACCATTTACAATCATTGTAACCATTTATTCCATTAATTCATGTACCTGTTTAGCTTCTCTCTTTGAATATTTCCTACTGGCTTAGCTTCAACTCTGTTCTTTTCTTATGGTATAGTGAATATATTTACTGGAGAAGGACTTACTGAACCACAAAAGCACTCATCATGCATGCATGGTTGGGGCTGTACCACATAGCCTTGCCTCTTACATGACATCAGTTCACAATGCCGTCCCTGAAGGTATGTGTACAAAGCAAACATCTCTGAAGGGGCATGGTCAGGTAGTGAGCATCATTGCCTACCTAATCTATGAATATGACTTATTAATACAGTGACAGTGATGATGTCAGCCCATGAGAGTACTCTCTCATTTGATTTGATTTAAAGCTTCCTGTCCTCCTTCATCAGGTTTCAAGTTTCCTTAGGGATCCCTTTTGACCTGTGGAAGCCTTTGAGAGCCTGAGGGTGTGGTGGTGGGGAGCCTTCAATTCCCCAAAATCACCACCAGATTGCATCGGGATCACCAGCAACAATCTGGTGGCAGTTTTTAGATACTACAGTCTCCTCCCATCCCAAGGCTCCCAAAGACATCCCAAAGTCAAATGGGATCTAATGGTTGTTGTGGGTTTTTCGGGCTCTTTGGCCGTGTTCTGAAGGTTGTTCTTCCTAACGTTTCACCAGTCTCTGCAGCCGGCATCTTCAGAGCACAGAGTGCTGTCCTCTGAAGATGCTGGCCACAAAGACTGGCAAAACGTTAGGAAGAATAACCTCCAGAACACGGCCAAAGAGCCCGAAAAACCCACAACAACCATTAGATCCTGGCCGTGAAAGCCTTCACGAATATATCAAAAGGGATCCCTAGGGAGCCTGAGACTCTGGAAGAGGAGTTAACATCACAGACTGATGACATCATCATTTACATGGTGCAGCTCTGCCACCTGGATTTCAGTCAATGTTGAGTACAGCAGAGGATAGCAGAAAAGGTACAGATGAGCGGAACCTTTCTCCTTTTTCCCCCCTTCCAAACTACAATTTGTTCTTCAGGATATGATCAAGACTGAAGATAAGATCATTACTGCTGTTACTATTAGTGAATGTTTGCTGAGTTAACTGCTGGTCAGGAGGAAGACAGAATGAAGGAAAAGACATGGAAAGCTTTTAGAAATATTAAATGGTGATAAAGAAGAGGAAACTGACATAACAGCTGTGAGAGAAAATGGTGATTTTCAACAGATAAATTTTTAATCAAGAGTGGTATAGCCAACAAGGAGGAACATCTGTAGTTTAGAGATAACTAAATCATGGTAAGGAGTTTTAGCAGATAAGTTAATTAAAATATACCATTATGATCAGGGTCTGGTACTTTTACTAGCTAAACTCTATCCCTTTATACTTACTCATTACTTTATCTTTGGTAATAATATCTGCCTTCAGATCAGCAGCATGGCAATAGGCCCAATATATGGCACCATCCTGAAAGTTCTTTACCAGTGTAAAAAACAACAACAGTGTTTAAAAAAACAGATGTGCAAAGGATAGCAGTTTTGGCATGACAATTATGGCCATTTACCCAAAATTTGCATTGCATTAATTCCAGATGAAACTGAATTAAATGCTGCTGACTATATGACACAAAGTTCAATTCAAGGAAGCCCAGTGGGGAATTATCTCTCTTCAATGGGTATGGAATTTTTTCCAACTGGCAGATATGTTTTCATCATCATCGTTTAGTCGTGTCTGATTCTTCATGACCCCATGGACCAGAGCACGCCAGGCCCTCCTGTCTCCCTCTGCCTCCCGGAGTTGTGTCAGATTCATGTTCGTGGCCTTCACACATCTCATCCTCTGTCGTCCCCTTCTCCTCTTGCCTTCACACTGTCCCAACATCAAGGGCTTTTCCAAGGAGTCTTCTCCAAGGAGTCTTCTCTTCTCATGAGATGGCCAAAGTATTGGAGCCTCGGCTTCAGGATCTGTCCTTCCAGTGAGCACTCAGGGTTGATTTCCTTCAGAATTGATCGGTTTGTTCTCCTTGCAGTCCAGGGGACTCTCAAGAGTCTCCTCCAGCACCACAATTCAAAAGTATCAATTTATTGGCGGTCAGCTTTCTTTATGCTCCAGCTCTCACTTCCATAAATCACTACTGGAAAAACCATAGCTCTGACTATGCGGACCTTTGTCGGCAAGGTGATGTCTCTGCTTTTTAAGATGCTGTCAAAGTTTGTCATCGCTTTTCTCCCAAGAAGCAGGCATCTTTTAATTTTGTGGCTGCTGTCTCCATCTGCAGTGATCATGGAGCCCAAGAAAGTAAAATCTGTCCCTGCCTCCATATCTTCCCCTTCTATTTCCCAGGAGGTGATGGGACCAGTGGCCATGACACTAGTTTTTTTGATGTTGAGCTTCAGACCCTTTTTTGCACTCTCCTCTTTCACCCTCATTACGAGGTTCTTTAATTCCTCTTCACTTTCTGCCATCAGAGGGGTAACATCTGCATATCGGAGGTTGTTGATATTTCTTCCGGCAATCTTAATTCTGGCTTGGGATTCCTCCAGTCCAGCCTTCCACATGATGTATTCTGCATATAAGTTAAATAAGCTGGGGGACAATATATAGCCTTGTCGTACTCCTTTCCTAATTTTGAACCAATCAGTTGTTCCATATCCAGTTCTAACTGCTGTTTCCTGTCCCACATATAGGTTTCTCAGGAGACAGATAAGGTGGTCAGGCACTCCCATTTCTTTAAGGACTTGCCATAGTTTGCTGTGGTCCACACAGTCAAAGGCTTTTGCATAGTCAATGAAGGAGAAGTAGATATTTTTCTGGAACTCTCTGGCTTTCTCCATTATGGCTTTCTCCATAATCCAGCGCATGTTAGCAATCCCGCTTATACTTCTGGGAGTTCTCGGTCCACATACTGCTGAAGCCTACCTTGTAGGATTTTGAGCATAACCTTGGTAGCATGTGAAATGAGTGCAATTGTATGGTAGTTGGAGGATTCTTTGGCACTGCCCTTCTGTGGAATTGGGATGTAGACTGATCTTTTCCAGTCCTCTGGCCACTGTTGAGTTTTCCAAACTTGCTGGCATATTGAATATAGCACCTTAACAGCATCATCATATTTTGTTTTTCTCTGCTTTCTGTTGTATGTGATTGCCTGATCTGAAGGCAAAGGAGTGTTCCTGTGGTCTCCAAACAGTATGTTTCTTTTTTAAAACACAGCTTTCAAGTCAGCACTGCAACAGACTATTGGCTGCTGCTATTGGAGCATTCTATGTCATCTGGACAGCTACAGCAGTTTCACCAGCAGAAACGAGCAGGGAACTGATTTGAAAAAAAAAATGCAGATCACAGCACATCAAAGTGCATTTTCACTGCTGTGTAGTTACAGCTACAAAGATACATAAAAACAGGAAATGCAGGATGGAGAGACTATAACAAAAACAAAGGCTTGTGGCATGTTTGACACTGATAGATTTACTTTAGCATGTGCTTTACGGATGACACGTGGAGTACGATATTCAGGTCACAACTGGTTATAGGAAGTAGGGTCAGAAATGGCAGGGCTTTTTATAAACACTGGCACTGAATTTTCAAAGTGGCACCATACATATATTGATGGCCAAGTTGTTGAGCTGAAGGTATATATTACTATCAAGGATGAAGAAGTCATGTGTAAGTAGAAAGAGACAGAGTTCGATGGCTATATAAACTCTAGCCCCATTGGTAGTAACGATATTCTTGATTACTTGTAGCCCACCCTTGTGGGTATAAAGCATGTCTAGATCCACGGTGGCTTGAATGATGTCTTCTGGGAAGTTGTCAGTAGGATGTATTTTCTTCAGGAAATCACTTTGTATCCTGTGCAAAACTAGGAAAATTAGTGGCACATGAGGTGAGAAGAGAGTCCATATATATAGATATCCCAAGCAAGAAGGTATCAGTATCTGATGCAATGGGCTATTCAGATTACCCAGTTTGGAAGCTGTCTGATGGTGTCTTTGTGTGGATCTGGTCCCTTACATCTGTGTAGAATTATCTCATCAGGTTGTGTGGTTCTACTGTTACTTAGTAACGTGAACTGTAAAATTTTGTGGTAGATCATTGTGTCTCAGCTTCCTGTAATGTAATCCATTTTATCCATGACTATTCATGACTACAGCTTATCCTTTATCTACCTCTTCTATGACAATGTTGGGATTGTTTGTGAGGCTGCGGGTGGCATCAGACTGTGAGATTGTGTGGTAAATTCTCATGCTGATTATCTCAGTTTGGGCATGGCCATAGAAGTACTCTATGTGTATAAATGGCATTGTAGTGTAGAAATGGCATTCACCCAGTTCCAGCCTTCAGGAGCAATCCATGAAGAGTTCTTGTACCTACACTAATCAGAGTGTTGTAGTGATGAGAGGGGGCTGCTGTGTGTTGGTGTAAAAGTCCCTTGTCGTGCTGTAGAGATGCAGAGTACTTCTACACTGCTAACATTGATTATTGTTATGGTCCTTAAAGTATTCTCTGAGTCACAGACATCAGTCAGATACTCTCCAAATCACTGCCACAGCATTGTATCACGTTCAGGGCACAAACCAAGGCCCCATGAAAGAACTGCCTGGCTCAGTGTGTGCCTAAATAAGATTCATAATTTTGTCAAATGAGTTAATTGAGCTTTGGTGGTTGTTTGTTACAGGAAATGGTTAATTGTTCCACACAGGGGAGAATTCAATTCTCTACAGAAATAGAAATATATAGCGGAAGGGGAGGAGTTTGTCCTGTGAACTGAGAAGAGCAGGGATGGAGCATATATTAGAGCCGGGGGGGGGGAGGAGTGAAAATTTGAGAGTCGCCATTTGTAATAAATATTGTTAGATGCTTTGTAAATTGTCAACAGGTTTAATTATAACTCACATATATATAGTTGCTTGTTTGCCGCAGAAGGTAGTGTAAATCTTACAGACAAATAAGAAGCAGGGGCAAAAATCCTGTCATATTAGTAGCTTATATTTCAAAGTAAATTCATATTTTCTCTATACACACATTATAATGAATGCCCTGGTGTTTGGGATACTGTGCATTGTCTCTCCTTAGTGCCTCCACAAATTCATATTTGTGTTCACACAGTAAAGCCTATGTAGATGGAGCTATTTATGTATAATTGGAATGCTGTCTTTTCATGGTTACCTGTCACAGAGGAAGAGCCTATGCACATGATCTGCAGAATTGTTTGCTTTATCCAGATGCGATAACGGAATGCATGAAAACTGAAATCATGCAATGTGTGCATGGATTTGTCTTCCACACATTCATCATAATTGGTGCTGAGGCAGCCATGGCTGGTGGTAGAGCATTCCATCCATCACCATATTGAATTGCCTCATGCAACGTATCTATGTAGATGGCAGGCTGCAGTTTCGAAATAAAAATAAAAAAACTCTGTGGGCAGATGCAAATTGTAATGTGCATTTTCAGGAGGTTTGTCAACAAGTTGAGAGGGGGGAAAAAAGAGGCAGTTCTTAATTCCAGTGTGAAAAGCTACAGAGCTGTTGGATATTAATTAAATGAACTTTTTTACTCATTGTAAAACAAACAGCCCCAAATTGTGTTCTGGGGCTTGATTTAGTATAGAATGCCTTCTCAATGCAGGGACTACAACATTGCAATTTCCCTGAAGTAATAAAAAAATTCTTTATAACTATTTGGTCATGGAGAAAAAAAAAGCAAAACATTGAATGAAGCATTAATGATAGCATTGTATCAATTATTCATGAAAAGATAAATGTGTTATTTTGCTGAGAGTCTAAAACAAACCATATTCCCATTGGAGATTTATTTTTATTGTAATGGAAGTGGTAGCTTAAAAAAAATCATATGGATAGGATTTATAACAAGGCTACACATCTAATTCTCTTAGTTAATCCAAGATAAATGTAAACCAGAACCAGAACTAGCCATTTTTGGCACTTGAGGCAAGTGGCATAGCCTTGCACCTATTCCACCCCTAAGGCATGCAAGCAACCTCCCCATGAAAAAGCAGAAAGAGAATGTGGTTTCCCCCAAAACAAAGATGAAACCTATGCTTTCAAAAACACACACATACAAAACTAAACAGGTTCATGTTGCCATTTATTTTCCTAACCCTCCCCAGTAGATTTTTGGGTTTATATGCCCACTGCATTTTGGCTCTCTAGGGCCAAGCCCTGATAGCTCTACCCTAGTTACAGTCCTTGTAGGAACACCGTACATCTCACCATAGTAGAAAAGACAATGACCTGGATCTCTGCTCAGGTGTTCATATTTGATGGCAGTGCAGCTCTTCTTATGGTTCCTAGTCTTTAATGCAAGTTTGGACTGGGCAGCCCTTTACACATAAGACACATTCAGGCAGAGGATTATCCCTTATGGCCCTTTCGTAGAGGATTATTCAATAGAAAATAAGATATGACCACACTGGGCACTTAGTTTTTAGAAATTAAATGGATGTTTGGGCAGGGCTCTTTTGACCATAGTATCCAAGCGTTGGTACTGGATTACTGTGAAGTTAATTGCTTTCCTCTTATCTTCCCCACACTGGGCACTTACTTTTTAGAAATTAAATGGGCGTTTGGGCCAGGCTCTTTTGACCATAGTATCCAAGCGTTGGTACTGGATTACTGTGAAATTAATTGGTTTCCTCTTATCTTCCAACATGGTACTGAAGCCTTTTGATCAATGCTTTTAGGATGGGGCAGAAAACCCAGCTGTTCTCTGTTTCTGTCATCCTTCTTGTTCAGCTTTAATTCTTCTTTCATGGGAGTGTCTGCCTGTGTGTGTTTAGGTTCAGAACTGCATTTCCTGCATTGATAGCCGTCTCTTATCTTCATTAGCGGCTTTCAGTGCCTGTTCTAAACAAACAAACAAAAAATACCCAGCATTTTGCAAACATTTAAAATAAAAGAAATTAATCTCAAGTCAAGACCCCACTGTACTGAAGCCTTTTGATCACGGCTTTTAGGATGGGGCAGAAAACCAAGCTGTTCTCCTCTGTTTCTGTCATCCTTCTTGTTCAGTTTTAATTCTTCTTTCATGGGAGTGTCTGCCTGTGTGTGTTTAGGTTCAGAACTGCATTTCCTGCATTGATAGCCGTCTCTTATCTTCATTAGCGGCTTTCAGTGCCTGTTCTAAACAAACAAACAAAAAATACCCAGCATTTTGCAAACATTTAACATAAAAGAAATTAATATGGTAACCAGCACCAAAACCTCTCAGATAACACAAGAAATGCAATTGTATAGGTATGCCCCTCTTCCCTTATTCCAGAAAGGAAAATAGGTGCATGTATTATATCACTGTTAAGTATTTCACAGCCATATTCCATGCAACCAACCAACCACCACATACTATTACCCGCAACTTTCCTTGGCCTGTTGAGGGCTGGCCACACCATGAGGCAGAGCAAGGCAGCTGATTTGTGACAAAATAAAAGGGCAGCCAGGCTTGTTCTTTACCTCGTCTTTCCACCAGCAGAGAAGACTTTTTCCTTTAGACAGGACTTTTGCAACTGTTTTTGTCCCCAGGCATTTAAATGGATGGGTTCTATGTGTTTCATTTATTAATGTGTTTTTAACATTTTTAATTAATTTTATGTCTCTGTAGTGTTTTATTGTAAGGTACTTTGGGTCCTATACATGGGGGAGAAGATAGGATAGAAGTCAAATGAATAAATATTTAATCTTTTATTTGAATTTTTAATCCCAGGGAGCAGTGCTTGTGAGATTTTTCTCAACCTTCAATGCCAAAATAAAACAAACAAAACATTTTTTTTGCCCTCTTATGTCTGAGGTACCAATTATTTTTGTTCAGCTTGACTATCTTCACTTACTTTAAAACAACATATTGTTCGCCACCTTCCAAAGGAATATGTTTTTTAAAAAATTCTTATGCTTCTCTGAGAAGTTCCAAGAAAGCAGTATTTTTCCAGTCTCCTATTAACAACCCTCAGGCTGAAGAAGATACTTGGATGAGTAGCGAAACATTTCAACCCAGTAAGAAAGAAGTCCAGTTGCCAGAACTCAACTTCCAGAGAACCTCACCTGGATGACTGGGAATTTTCACAGATATTTTTCCAGCTTTGGTTTCCTTTGGATGAAGGTTGCTGAGGGCTTAGACTGAGGGCTTCTTCGAAGTTGAGAGAACACTGGGCCTCTTCCATTTTTTAAGGTTCACAGTCTGTCACAGAATGAAGAAATGTCAAGAGAGGTTTCAAAAAATTACAATATATTTTAAATTTGAAGGCTTCTATGAATAAGAGGTTGGGGCCAAATAACTTTCCTGCCCCAACCTTGTGCTAGGCCCTCCTTATATTTTTCTTAAGTATTTCAACTTTTTAATAAAGATACTTGCTTAAAACATAACTTGAAGTCATAATGTTAAGCCTAGAATGCATTTCTTTGACGGACTTAAACTTGTATAGAGGAACACATCTGAGTGACACCATTTACTGAGGGAAAGAGTATGTATGCATTCCATTGGAACAAGGTCTTAAGACTACTATTTTCAAATGCACTTCATATAAATAGAGTTTGATGGACACATATATTCATTATGCATGTGCCCTTGATGCAATGGGTATCGACTCCCAAATGATATGTAAAACCACATATCCAAGTCCCTAACTATTTTTAATCTCAGATTGAGCTCTGTCTGATAGCTGGTGTAATTCCATTTTCAGGAACGAAAACCCTGGTTAACAGAAGCTGTGACACCATCTAAATGCTGTTGCCTACTCATTGCTTTTCAGTAATTGCTTTTCTAGTCCACAGTCAGAAAATAAACAATAGCAGTAAGCCCTACAAACATTATAATGGTGACATTTTCATTACCTGATATCTGTGAAAATGGATAAGCTATCACACTTAGTATAAATCAGTGTTAGGCTTCTGTACATACTTGTGGAAAAGCCAAGACTGATACTCAGATGTATACAGTATAGTGAAGCTTGTTTATTACCCACCCTTCCTCTAGAGAGCCCAGGACAGAGCATATGCCTGTCCTCACAACAATGCAGGGCTAGCCTAATCCCTGGAATTTTGTTGATGATTCTGTATTTCAGAACAATTGAATAAGGCTAAGGAATGCAAATTTTTTTCTCCTCTATTTTTCTCCTTAATTCGCACAAGTTGTCTCTTTCCTTTTCTTCTTGTTTCTTCTTTTGTCAAGAGTCCCACAGAGTATCTTGTCCTCTTGGAAGGCAATCATCATCATCATCATCATCATCATCATCATCATCATCATCATCATCATCATCATGATGTTGTGGTTCATCACAAAAACTGAGTATTGGCATCCTTCTAAAATTGCCTAGGCACCACTATTATGGCCATGTCAGTGAAGTCATCAGATGCCATTTGTAGACTAGCATTCTAGAATCAGTTTCCATCATTTATAACTATAAAGCAGTGGGACTGAGTCCAAGTGTGGTTAAAGCATCTTTGTCCCCAATCAGAAGAAGGTTTGAAGTCTCAGGATGCTTAAATAAAAGAATTTTATTCACTTCAAATCTTTACTTTTTAAAAAATGATTAGCCTCTCTCATTTTCTCTCCTGAGGCTTTGTATTTCATCTGTCATTCTGCCTTTCATATGAGAAACAAGAAGGCATCTTGGAAATTTCAGGTTACCTGGAAGAGCGTACAGTTGGATCATTGTTTTGCTTCCAAATACATAGGTGTTAATTTGAATCATACACTTCCAAAATGCAAAGCAAAGGGCCTCCACAAGGAACAATGTTCTTTAAAAGCAACCGAAACCAGTTTGGGCACACAATCCACAAGGAACAATGTTCTTTAAAAGCAATCAAAACCAGTTTGGGCACACAGCCACAAACACTAAGAACTGCAGTCTTGGCCTAGAGGCAAACACACTCACCCAGTATGGTATAGTCCATGCAAAACAGGTTGATGTAGAATTTAATAAAGCTTCAGAACTAGTACTAGATGCCTGAAGGCAGCGCCTATTTATACTACCTAGCAGATATTGCACCAAGTGACATAAATATAGAGAGAGCAGCTAACAATAAAAACTCAAAGTATTCACATCAACTGTTGGGTAGTTTAGTGGTTTAGGTCTCTGGCTGTGAAGTGGTCCTGGCTGCCATGGGAGGTATATAAGTTTAATAAATAATAATAAGCCAGAGTTTGGGAGTTTGATTTCTACATTGTGCCTCCCTGATAGGGGCTGGATTCAATGGTCCATAGGGTCACTTCCAGCTCTGCAGTTCTATCGATATTGTTATCAAATGTGCATCTACTCTTCGGCTACCATCCCTCTCCTCCCAAATTAAAATCAAGGAAAAAACATTTACAGAACATCTGTGAATTATAAAGGAACAGCAGAGAATGCCAAGGGTATAATTTGGAAAGAAAGAACTACCCACCTCAACTCCAGGAAAATCCAACTCCCAATTTCATGGAGAACTAGTTTTGAGGTAGCCATGTTAGTCTGTGTAAGCATATAAGACAAAATCCAGAGAAACAAAACAAAGGACAAAAACATGTGGCACCTTAAAGGTTAAGTATTTATATTTCAATATCAGCTTCTGTGGACATGTCCACTTTGTCAGACATATGGAAACAAAATGAAATGTTGAATGAAATCTCAGTTTCATACTAAATATTCAATGGCTCTTGAATGTATGTTATATTTACATGCAGTAATTTATGGCTTATGTTATTTTAGGGCTCTGTTGTAAAACAGAACTAGATTTCTCAGTAGCCACTTAACAGGTTACAGACCAGGGTTGGCAGGACCAAGGTGGAGTTAAGAAAATTGGGTTTTTGCACCAACACAGTTCTTTGGAAGTGTGGGAAAGAGCAGGCAACTTCGCACTTATGTGAAGTGTACTGTATGCTCATTGACATGTATGTGTATATGGGAGTTGGTGCTAGCTGACCCCAATACTCTTGGTGTTTATTTTATTTTATTTATTATTCAATTTATACCCCGCCCCTCTAGACAGAGTCTACTCGGGGTGGCTTACAAAGAAGACAAACATTATAAAATACAATCAAATAAAATCATCAAAGTACATATAAATCAATCATACTCTTGGTGTTTATTTTATTTTATTTATTATTCAATTTATACCCCGCCCCTCTAGACAGAGTCTACTCGGGGTGGCTTACAAAGAAGACAAACATTATAAAATACAATCAAATAAAATCATCAAAGTGCTCTTCGAGCTGCTCGTAGCCAAGTCCAACAGACTGCCAGGAGATGTTCCAATGATTATTGGCTTCAGCTCTGCTCTCAGATACAGATAGCAGCGGACACAGGTAACATCAAGGGAATGTATGATGGTATCAAGCAGGCTTTAGGTCCAATACAGAAGAAATCTGCTCCCTTGAAGTCTACTACAGGCGTGATCATCCAGGATCGAGCACAGCAGATGGAACGCTGGGTACAGCACTACTCTGAGCTATATTCTAAAGAGAATGTAGTAACGGAAGATGCACTAAATAACATTGAGTGCCTGCCTCTCTTGGAAGAGCTGGACAGTGAACCAACTTTAGCAGAAATAAAAGCAGCCTTGGATTCCCTTGCCTCTGGCAAGGCACCTGGAAAGGACAACATCCCCGTTGAAGTTTTGAAGTGTTGTAAAGAGATCATCACCACTGAGCTGTATGAACTCTTTTCTCTTTGCTGGAGAGAAGGTGGAGTACCACAGGACATGAAGGACGCAAACATCGTCACATTGTATAAGAACAAAGGCGACAGGGGCGACTGCAATAACTACCGTGGTATCTCTCTTCTCAGCGTTGTAGGGAAGCTGCTGGCCCGTGTTGTGCTGAAGAGACTTCAGGTGCTTGCAGACAGAGTGTATCCAGAATCACAGTGTGGTTTTCGAGCTAACAGATCCACCACTGACATGGTATTCTCCCTCCGACAGCTGCAGGAGAAATGCAGGGAACAACAACAGCCACTCTTTGTGGCCTTCATAGATCTCACCAAGGCCTTTGACTTGGTTAGCAGGGACGGACTTTTTAAAATACTTCCCAAGATTGGATGTTCACCTCAACTCCTTAATATCATCAGGTCCTTTCATGAGGAAATGAAGGGCACTGTAGTTTTTGATGGCTCAACATCAGATCCCTTTGACATCCGAAGCGGAGTAAAACAAGGCTGTGTCCTTGCGCCAACCCTGTTTGGGATCTTCTTTGCTGTCATGCTGAAGCAGGCCTTTGGAACTGCAACAGAAGGTGTCTATCTCCGGACTAGATCAGATGGAAAGCTTTTTAATCTCACTAGATTGAGAGCGAAGACCAAAGTCCAAATGAAATGTATGCGGGACTTCCTCTTTGCTGATGATGCAGCCATTGTTGCCCACTCTGCTGAAGACCTCCAACAACTCATAAATCATTTTAGCAAGGCCTGCCAAGACTTTGGACTAACTATCAGCCTGAAGAAAACACAAGTCATGTGCCAGGGCGTGGACTCACCTCCCTCTATTACTATCTCCATGCAAGAACTGGAGGTTGTTCATGAATTTGTGTACCTTGGCTCAACAATCTCTGACACTCTCTCCCTAGATGTCGAGCTGGATAAACGCATTGGGAAAGCAGCTACCATGTTCTCTAGACTCACAAAGAGAGTATGGCTTAATAAGAAGTTGACGGCATACACCAAAATCCAGGTCTATAGAGCCTGTGTCCTGAGCACACTCCTATACTGCAGCGAGTCCTGGACCCTTTGTGCACGGCAGGAGAGGAAGCTGAACACCTTCCATATGCGTTGTCTCCGACGCATTTTTGGTATCACCTGGCAGGACAAAGTTCCAAATAGAGTAGTCCTAGAACGAGCTGGAATTTTCAGCATGTATACAATATTGAAACAGCGCCGTCTACGTTGGCTTGGGCACGTCGTGAGAATGGCTGATGGTCGGATTCCAAAAGATCTCCTGTATGGAGAATTAGTGAAGGGAAGCCGCCCCCGAGGGAGACCACAGCTGTGTTACAAGGACATCTGCAAGCGGGATCTGAAGGCCTTAGGAATGGACCTCAACAGATGGGAAACCTTGACGTCTGAGCGTTCAGCCTGGAGGCAGGTGGTGCATCATGGCCTCTCCAAAGTTGAAGAGACACTTGTACAGCAGACCGAGGCAAAGAGGCAGTCCCGAAACAAGCAAAACCAGGGAGCTGGACAGGGGACAGGTTGGATTTGTCTCCAGTGTGGAAGGGATTGTCACTCTCGAATTGGCCTTCTCAGCCACACAAGACACTGTTCAAAGACCTCCATACAGAGCACGATACCATAGTCTCTCGCCATTTTATAACAAAAGCATCCTGGACTCTTTGGTTTTCATTTCATTGATGGGGGGTGGTGGTACTCTTTGAGGCCTGACACTTGTTTTATGGGATGCCTAGAATACTATTCTCTTCATCATTTAATATATATGAAAACCTGTTGGGAGTAGTCATTCTGAGCCTTGGGCAAGATAAATATGCTGATAGCACAAGTAACATTTGATATTAAGTTAGGCCATGTGAGCACTGGCCAATCTGGACTTAGGGTGAGCCCCCCTCCCTTCTCATGACATGGGTTGCCCTGAGTAGCCCCTTTGTCTGGGAAACAAGTCAGTTGTCTCTGCTACATGGAAATGCACTGCCTCTGAAGAAGCAGGAACACAAGCTGCAGATGCTCCTAGATTCATCAGTGTCTAGGACTGCTTTTTGGCCCATGTAGGTGGATCCAGGAACTGCAATTCATAGACAAGCATAGCCTGGCCCTAGTGATCCCTGAACAAGTTTTTTTTCTCTCTCTCTTGAGCTTCTTTGTCTTGGTACCTCTCCAGGTCAGTGTCATAGCCTGTCTAAACATCCCAGCCCAAAGCAGTCAGATAGGTGATGACTGTGATCCTGCATGTATTGCGATGCGAACCTGCTGAATCCCACCTCTGGCTGGGACTGCTTTTTGGCCCATGTAGGTGGGTCCAGGAACTGCAATTCATAGACCCTAGTGATCCCTGAACAAGATTTTTTTTCCTCTCTCTTGAGCTTCTTTCTTTCGGTACCTCTCCAGGTCAGTGTCATAGCCTATCTAAACATCCCAGCCCAAAGCAGTCAGCTAGGTGATGAAACCTGCTGAATCCCACCTCTGGCTGGGACTGCTTTTTGGCCCATGTAGGTGGGTCCAGGAACTGCAATTCATAGACCCTAGTGATCCCTGAACAAGATTTTTTTTCCTCTCTCTTGAGCTTCTTTCTTTCGGTACCTCTCCAGGTCAGTGTCATAGCCTATCTAAACATCCCAGCCCAAAGCAGTCAGCTAGGTGATGACTGTGATCCTGCATGTGTAATGCTTTACCTGTCTTTGGCTGTATCCAGTGGTAAGTTGCCACTAGAAAAGATTCACTCGGCTGTATCCAGTGGTAAGTTGCCACTAGAAAAGACTCACTGAATCAATGGAACTTACATAAGAGTTGACTCCTCAAAACTCCACTGAGTCAATGAGCTTTGGTATGCATGTTTTAATAGGTTAGGACATACTGATGTGATACCTCATTCAAGCAAGTATTTTCTAACATAACTTAAGATGTGGAAGAACAGCACCTTTGGCCTGTTGGGTTGGTTCTACCCTCCCACTCCAGTTCCAAAGAGATCAGTGTGATATAACGGTTAGTGTTAAACTAGAATTTGGAAATCCCGCTGTGAAACATTGGGCATACCATCTCTCCCTCCCTCCCCCCCTCACACACATACACACACACAGAGAGACACACATATATCGTGGCCCACCTCAAAGGATACTGTGCCAATAACATGAGGTGGAGAACATCCAGGAGAGGCAAGAAATAACTATAGCAAAGTCAATTGATTGATTGATTGATTGATTGATTGATTGATTGATTGATTGATCGATTGATCGATTGATCGATTGATTGTTGTTGTTGTTGTTGTTGTTGTTGTTGTTGTTGTTGTTATAATATTCTTGGTACATATAATATGAACCAACTGTGTTTGATCTAGGTTTTGGGTTTTGTTTTGTTTTTAAATAGGATTTCATTGTGACAGTGGTGTTTTCATTCCTATGGCTGGTGGGTTCCTCTGCATGGGCTAAAGGACTATCTGATGTGAAAGTTGCTACAGATCCTGGTGAAGTCCTCTTACTGATGTCAGCTTGCAAGCAGCAGTCCAATAAGTGCTTGCCTGTGGGCAGTCCTGTTATGTCAAGCTTGAATACGTCAGTCGTAAGTATTTTTATTTATTATTTCTGAACGAAAAACAAATGCAAAGTGGAAAGTGTTCAGGGTGTTAACTGGGGCTGGTCACAGGGATCACATACACCCCACCCACCCCTTTACAGCAGCTCCAATCCATTTCTGGTCATGGTTCTAAGTGCTGGCTTTCACCTATAAAGCCCTAAATGGCCTGAGTCAGAGCTATCTCAAGGACGACAACTTCGGTTTATGAGTCTGCTCGAATGTTAAGATCTCCGGGGAGGCCCTTCTCTCAGCCCCACCACTCTCACGGGTGCATTTGTTGGGAACATGGTCCTGCTCCCAGATGCTGGAACTTTCTCCCACAGGAAGCCAATGTTTAAAAGCTAAAAACAGTAAGTATACAAATATTACAAAAGAATCATACAAATACCACATTAAAACAATGAACACAATCAACACCAAAAAACATACTAAGCAGCAAGGCTCAACAAACCATTTTAAAAAACACTCTCAGACAGCCAGTCACTAAGGGAACATCTGTATGAAGAAAAAGGTCTTTCTAAAAGGACAGCAAATGTATGGCTATGTTGTGGCTGGTCCCATCAGTGCCCTCTAGTTGGATGGGGTGGGCCAATTAGGTTGAGCTGGTCTACTTGGAAGTCACCATTCTAGTCTGGTTTTTGCAGTATTGGTTTCCTGCCCAGAATAAGTACTGGAATGTTGTCCCCAGGAATGTTTTATAGCTGGTCATCTCCATCCCCTCCAGTTAATTTTTTTTTTGAATTATAGATACAATAAATTAGTATAGAGAAGCTAATGAAGACTTTAAAGTAAAAATGGTGTCTTGCTTGTCTGAACAGGAAGAGAAAGAGGAGGATTTTTCCCCCCTAGGGAAATTGCCATCTGTTCTGTAGAATTTTTGGGGTGCAAATCTTTTGATGTTTTTAATAGTAAACGATCTGGAAAAAGTTAAATAGATGGCTCATAGCCTCTAAGAAAAGGACTATGGTGAGAGGAGGTACAAATGCAGAGTGTTTGTCAGTCAAAGTACGGGATCCTCTTTGGGACAGGGTTGTGTAGTCCATCTACTGGAAGAAAAGTTACAGGCATTCTTTGGTAGCTTTCTGTTTACTTACATTTTCTTCAGCTATACTGAGAGAGGGAGCTAGATTAATCATTTATTTTAAGCTGAATTGCCTGCCTGCTGGCAGTTGTGGTAGATTAAAAGAATGTTAAATAAACAGAAAACATCTGTAGTGTAAAACCAAATATTATCCTGATTAATTGAGTGACAGAGAGGCTGGGGACAGAGTAGCAAAACCATACAATTTAAATTGATGTCTTGTTCTGTTTCTCGCATAGGTGTTTGGATTCTTGAACTTTATTCTCTGGGCCGGAAACATTTGGTTTGTTTTTAAGGAAACTGGTTGGCACTCCTCAGGCACGAGGTACCCTCCAGACACCGCACAGAAGCAATCCAGCAGCTATAACCAAGGTGGTTACAATCAAGAGAGCTATGGGCCAAGTGGCGGCTATAACCAACAGGGGAGCAGCTTTGGCCAAGTGGATGAGTTTGGCCAGCCGCAACAGAGTGGGCCAACTTCCTTTGCCAATCAAATCTAGCACAAGCAAAGTTTCGAGAGTTCTTGAGCGTTAACTATGGAAAGTTCAGACACAGTGGCAGGTGGCAGCTTTCTGAGGTTTTTAGATAAAAATCAGAGGTCTACGGGTATCAACCTAGGAAGGTGGGTTGGGGTCCATGTTTGTTTCTATATGATGCATCTCCTCCTTGTGAATAGATGACTGATGATATATTCATCACAGGTGGTGAATTGGAGTAAATAATTGTTGTACGTACTGTATAGATACCTTTTCAGTAGTTTTGTTATGTGTATGGTAGCAGCATTTTGTAGCCTTGAGCCTTGCAGTATATATTATGCATAAGAGAATAAATTAAGATTAGATTTTATTCTGCATTTGGGTGAAAACAAAATCTGTTTCCATATAATTTCTGAAGATTACGCTATATAATGCATGCACTGCAGCTCCTAGGTTTCCAGCATTGCCTATCTATACCTGTTAATTTGTCCTATTTTATTAATTTTCCCTGTTTGGAATATGAGAATTTTACCTTTCTTTCTGATTAGCAAATTTGCAGTGTGTCTTAGTGCATGAAGCTACACAGTTTAGAACAACAGTATGGATTGTATAAATTGATTTTTTCAGTATCACAATTATTCTTTTTAACTGGTTTATTTGTTTAATATAACATTTTAGATAAAGGTACTTATGTAGGTCTATTTTATATATTTTGCAAAGTTGGATCAAATGGCTTATCCAAATCCTGAATGCTGCATATAACTAAAAGTTCTCCTTAAAAGGGCATTCAGAAATATCTGCTGTAAACTGATCCTTTTTTCTGTTTAATCAAGCTCAATATTCCTTCTATGGATCCGTATTTCTATTGATGTTTTGTGACTCTTTGAACGTGAGCTATGTACTATAAGGACCAAGTAACTGTGTTTACATGTTTACAAAGATATTTATTTAATCAAGGTATCAGAGGTGCAGATATCAGTAAATGAAACTATGGGGGGGCGAAATACCACATTGACAGTGTGACATGGGATGTAGAGTTCTTGAAAATACTATAAAAGAATAGCTTTTCCTATATTGCCACTGATGAAGAAGAATGTTGTTCTCTGTGTGTCGTTTCGAAGTTGTTCAGCGGCTGTTCAGGACAGTCATTGTAATGACTACAGGATTTGGTGCTATCTGTAAGTAGAAGGGGAATGTTCAATAGAAGATCTTAACAATCAAGCTTGCAGGGTCAGCTCCTTAGTAGCAGGGGGCATCACTAACACAGAAGTCCTGCTGATCTCAAATCTTGCTTCATCTTTTCATGGAGAATACTCCATTCAGTTACCGTTCTCCATGTAGTTATTGTTCCCTTTACCTTCATGGCAAGAGAACATGACCTGCTGCTGCTAGATGAGTATTTTTGTTCTCTTTATCCTCCAGCAACCCATAGAACTGCACATACTTAGCACCAAACTCCAACTACTAGATAGAAATCAAATCTGAGCCATCTCTCCTGTACTGTAAGGGAAGCCTGGGCTTTACTTTCACTGTTTTTGAGCCCAATTCCAAGGTGCTTCCCAAGGAACTGTGTCTAATAAATTTGGCAGAGCATTTCCTAAATAGTTAGATTACAAATGGCTCCAGTGGTCACCAGTGCATGACTAGAAGCACATATGTAATGGAGGGATGAGCTGGGACCAGAAGGGAGTCAAGGACAGAACCTTGAACATTATTTCTTTGAGTGATTCATCCCTGCAGTGAGAAAAGACTTACAACTGCTAATCTAGAACCCATTCAAGACTGTGCAGCCAAAAATATAAAATCATCTTAGCCTTCCCTTTTCTTACTCAATTTGCAGCCTACAGAAGAACACACCATAAAAAAATCTGAACATCTGCATTTCTAAATAAAAGTGTATTTGTCTATAATATCATTGTATGAGCTGTAAATGTGCAAAGCATCTTTTAGCATAAAACAGCATAGTCACTTAAATGATTGTTGTAACCAATGTATGGCTGCTCAGTGGATGAATCAATATTGTGATATATCTATTTGACCCTAATAAAGAAACGTTTATTGCATACAGTGCTTGTTTGAAGAGATACAGTACACTTGAAATGTGTAAGCTAAACCAGTCCTTGTTATATTTGCTCACAGATGCAGATAAACACAAGATAAACTAGCATCTACATTTCCTTAGAACCTACATTTCATTTTAAATTATTATCAGCCACAGCAAGGAAAATAATGGTTTGGCCTATAATGTATCAGGCTAAATACAGTGTTAGCCCCTATTGGAATAAACCCAATGAATTGAATAGGACTTCTGAGTCAAAAGTAACATATTCCAAAGAAGTAATTATGCTAGTGTATTAGAGCATGTTGATAAAAAGGGAGGGGGGAGGAGGAAGGCAGAAGGACAAAATATTGTGACATCTTAAAGGCTAACAGATTTTTTTTAAATGTGAGCTTTCATAGATCAAAATCCACTTCCTCAAACATAATGAACGTATGGGGTCTACTGTAGCTCAGTGGTTTAGGTAGCTGGCTGTGGAGTCAGAGGTTGGGAGTTTGATTCTTCACAGTGCTTCCTGTGAACAGAGCCATTCTGTGTAGCCATGGACAAGTTGCACAGTCCCAGAGCACCCCCAGAAGAAGGGAATGGTAAACTACTTCTGAGTACTCTCTACTTTGAAAATCCTTAAAAAGGGTCACCATAACTAAGAATTGACTTTGAGGCACATCATCATCATCATCATTATTACTGTTGGCAGTAATAATGGAATTGGATTTTATGCAGCTTGGGGCAGTGCTGAAAATTTGGCCAAAATTTGACCCTTAGATCCACCCAAGGTTGACCACACCTGATTTCAAACATTCTCAGTGTTGCTGTAAAACAATGCATTCCACAGAATGAAGACATGAGAAAGTCTTGTCGAATCAGAGCAAGACTTTTATCCAGCATCCTCTTTCACAATGGTCGGTTTGATGGATCCAGGAATCCAGCAAGCACAGCATGGAAGGCATGACTTTCAAAAGGGTTATTTCCTGCACCCTGACAGAAATTTGCTCACAGTTGTCTTGTGATCCAGGTTCATAGGGTGGAGGGGGACTGGCTACAAAAATGTTTTTTTAAATGTATCTTGGAATTAAAGTTTGTGAAGAAGAGAACATAGTAATGATCTCTTGTCACAGCCTGGCAAAATGGCTATGTTAGATATTTATAAGTAGCTATGGAAACAGAGGGAAGGGGTATAGAGCAGCTGGTTGTTTAATGCCTTCTATAAAGTCAGTAAATGACTCATACACTATATAGGTCAACAGCCTTAAATAAGTCACATAATAATGTATCCCATCAAGAATTAAATATTTGAATGGTAAACTATTTTCAGCCTGTGCTGTTTGGTTTGCAATAGTTTATCTTTGTTGGGAGATGGAAGACAACTAGAGATGGGAACGAATCAGAAAAAATTGCTGCTTTGTTGGTATTTGGCATTCATCAAAGTTGATGAAGCGACAAATCTACAAATACTCATCAATTTGTTGTTAAAAGACAATGTCCTGCCAAACAGCTGGTCAGCAGGACATTGATAAGCAGGCTGGCTGCAGGAAGGCAAACCCCTTTTCTGTTCCCACAGCCAGGCTGCACGAAGGGATGAATAAAAATGGGTAAATATTCATTCCCTCATATTTATTAGGGTCTCCGGACCTGACAAATACAAAGGGACAAACATCCCACAAATCAGCAATATTTCAGGAATAACACAATTCATATTTTTATTCGTCCCCATGTCTACAGACCACATCTATACAAGGTGTAATGAGCCTACTTTGGACTTGCATGTATAAAGACATTCTCAATGATGATACTATCTTTCTTAATTTTAACCATGAGAGGTGGTTAGCTACTCAAGCACCTTATTATAAGCTATTGGTGAAAATTCCTTATCAGATTATTTCCAACTTATTTCCCTGAAGCTCTGTCTTGGCTAAACCTGACTTTCTGTTTACACTGATACAGGTGGCAGGAGTTTCTGCCTTAACCTCCATCCCATTTTTTCTCCTTGCTGTTACTATGGGAGAGAAAATATCAGTGCCAATCTCAGACCAGTGTATGTAGGGATCCTGCTGTAGGGCTACTTTGAAAAAGTGAAGGGAATTCAAATCTGGTGGGTCAAGGACCACCGCTAATCTATCCCTGAGGGGTTCCTAGACCACCCTGATTTGTTCTGTGCTGTCAACAGTAATACCACTAGCTATGTCCATGGAGGTTCTTGTGGGTGTAACAGGATCCTCTGAAGGAGATGAGCTGGTGCAAGACACACCCCTTATCATCCACACACACCCCCCCTTATCATCCCTTCTTGGACAGACATCCGTCTAACCTGGGTAGGATTGCTCTATTACTGACCCATGCACTTTGGCCCTAAAAACTGCACGTTAAGCCTTTGACATAGCCCAAAGTATACATCAAAACAAATGCATCCTCCCATGGTTTTCCTTCTGTAATATTGTTTGCACTACACCTTGCAAATGACAGCATTGCAGGAAAACTCACAGTTTAGATAGATCTGTACTGAAAATTTCCAGTGCAATTGCGGGCTTGATGGCTCAGCAGGGTAAGCCTAATACCCAGTTTTGAACTGACTTGCCATCTATTTGGTAAACTACATGTACTTACTATAGAATGCCAAGGCAACAGCCTATTAATGAATACGGATACTCATGGTGTCAATCCAGCTGGCATCACTTTCCCCCCCTTCTCCCACCCCCAGTTATTTTCTATATGGATACGCTCCAAATCACAGTGTGATTACATGGCACTATGTTTCTGAATTACTCTTAGAAGGTGCCTATGATTACTGATGGGAAGCACTGCACATGATTTCATAATAATCTAGATTTTCTTTCCAACATACTGTTCTCTTTCAACACCTTCTTTGTTTTATCATGTTGTGTGTGAAAACGTAAAACTTCACTTTTTAACTTTTGTACCCTGCCTAAATGATTTGATCTTTCCTACAAAAGGACATTACACTGATTGCCATTCCATGTACAAATACAGCATTTTAACTCCTTGTAATAGCAAGATCCAGTAGAATATACCACAATTAACAATGAAACTTATGCAACACAAAGGGAATTTTATTCACTTTCTTTAGTTGTTCTGGTTGGCCAATATTTATCTTAATTTGGGAAATTTTCAGACATATATTGCAAAAACAAGAAATTACAGTTGCTTCTATACTTCTTGGGAGTCCCCGGTAAACAAACTCCTTCTTCAATGACATCCTACTATATGTTCAAAAATTTATCATGCTTCCCCCCCCCCGATACCCCAGAAATACAATATTTTTTCAGCTTTCCTTGCATGACATTTGTTTTAAAATCTCAATCATCTTCATTGATTTTTCTTCCCATATATGCTTGTAGGCAAGGAATGATTTAATAAAGCAGTTTGCTGAAACACGTTGTTTGCTAAATGAAGCGAAGCATTATAAAATCTCTTAGGGAATAGTTAATCTACTCAGGGTGGGGATGGGGGTGGTGGAATTATTTCCCAAGAGTAAACGAATGAGGGAGTTACAAGGAAGGCAATTCAGTTTCTTCAGAGATCTTTTAAATATGAACTAGTTTCTAGACCAAAAAAAGCATCAGAGAAGAGATGCAACACATTGAACTATTTATCAGAATAGGGGGCGGATAATTGGTGGAATGTTCTGCGAGCAAACAATTCTATACAATAATTGATGTCATTTTTAGACTGTCTGCTGGGCAAAGCCACTTCCAGACAAAGGGAGAAAACAGCCCATCCAGTGACCTAACAGTTCACCATAAACCTTGCTGTCGTGTGTGCACTGGGGCAGCATGAAATCTTTCCCTGCCAGAGGGTCCAATTCAAGTTAGTACAAGTGGACAGAGGTCATACTGAAAGAATCGAAACACAAGAAAAGGCAAATAATCATTTTTCACAGCCTATTTAAGGAGAGGCGGGTGGAATAATGTACGGAATAATGACTCCCATCATCCCCCATTAACATGGCCACTGACCATAGTATGTGATGGTGATGGGACATAAGTGAAGGGCAGTCAGCTGAGGGAAGGCTGATCTAGAAAAACAGGGAGATACCACAAACAGTTCAGATACCACTTTTTACTTTCACGTTTTCTGGGGGGTTTCTCTTCCTGACACATGCCCAAAATTGAAATGATAAATTGTAGGCCCCTTCTTCTCTCAGTCAGAGACTAATTATAAAACCTCCTCAAAAAGACATTTTATCTGCTTTATCTTCAGAAGCAGAGATTAGTGTTTTAATCATTAGTGACCCACAGAGCTCAATTTAACTGTCAGACTTACACAAAGAGAGTTATCAACCAGAGAGCATAATGGATTCTAAGCAGATTTTTAACTGGCAACAAACTCTTCCTGCCTCTAGCTGTTCATACCTACTGGATAAATAACAATTGCAATATCCTGCTTTGGCAAACCAATCGCACTTGTTATTTTTTTGAGGTACTGCAAGACTCTACACTGTTTTTTTCGTGCCACAGATTACCAGAGCTAACTCTCTGAGAAAACACAAGACAGGTTTAAAAACTGATAAATTAAACAGAAAAGAGTATTTCTTTAAAATGCATGCTTCCTTTCTATGGCATAAAATAACATTTATAATATATCTGTGAATACATAACCATGAATGAATGCCTCTGCCTCTGAAGTTGCCCCTGCCTGTCACTCCACATGGATGGAGCATTGAAGGCTGCAGATTTCTTATTTTCTGGAGTACACAGACCTCAACTGATACATCTCCTTTCGGTATAAATGCCCTCAAGAGTCAAGACAGGTACCAGTGTCAATAAAATAAAAAATAAATAAATTCTGATAAAAATAAATGTCATCTCAAGAAGAAGTGGGAACTTCTTAACTGTTAGAGCAGTACAGCAATGGAACCAGTTCTCTTGAGAGGTGGTGAGTGCTCCAACACTGGAGGCATTCCAAGAGAAAATTGGACAATCCCCTTTGAGATCTCCTTTGATTCGGATTCTTGTGTTGCCTAGGCGGTTGGAGTTGATGGCCTTA